ACGTCCCCGTCGTACACGTGTGCAGCGGTTGGGTCTGGTGGGCCCCCGTCAGCGGTGGTTGTTGTTCCTCCTGGCCTCGGGGTAGAGGGGCCAGGCGGGGCGCTGCGAGCATCCGGGATCGAATGCGCGTACTCGTTTGCGGCACCTGCATGTGTAGAATCAAGAAGAAAAATGGTAGCCTGGGTGAAACTCAAAAAATAAAGAAAAGCTGGCTAGAAAAATGGTACTCAAGTTAATAAAACTTATACAAGTGCTTCCATCGAACATAAGATAATAAAAAAATATTCAATACTACAAAATAATAAATAAATAACAATTAAATATAAACAATCTGTATGCACAGGCACAAAATGGGGTCAAATTTAATACAAGGAAAAGTGCAGGTCATTTGTATAATCAATAGAAAAATGGTATACATGTATTTAATATATACTATAGTATATATTAAATACATGTATACCATTTTTCTATTGATAGCCTTCTGTACTAGGGCACCTTTGCTATCAGTATGATTTGCTGTTTACAATTAATGAATTAAGGCCACACCAATTTAATTTGTTGGTTCTCAGATTTTTTCAGAAAAAATATGAAGCGACAGGGCAAAAAAAAATAAAAATAAAAACAGGTCTAGGCATCCTATTATAGGCTTAAATGCTACAAAATGAGCCATGAAGTCAACACAAAAGGCTGGGTTAAAATTTAAACATTGAATTTTGAACTTTTAATCAAACCACTGCAATGATAGATGGGAAAACTGTAACAACTAGGAAGAAAAGGACTTTCCTCAACTGTTTGGGGGCAAAACATGAGCATTTTTCAGTTGATTCAGGACCAGAATCAATTTTTTTTTTTTTTGCAAATCAGAAAAAAATGAAGAGGCGAATCCGAGAACCAACAAATTAAATTGGTGTGGCCTAAACAAAGATTATAAAACTGTACAGAAGCTAATACATGACGTCATTAGTTACAGAGTATATGTATGCGGTAACAATAAAGGTTTAACTATTCTATAACATGTGGTCTCTAAGATTGAAACATTCTTTTACATGTTTCCCCTTCTAAACTCTAAAAACTTTAAAAACTAGGAAGAAAAGGACTTTCTTCAACAGTTGAGCCCAAAATATGTCTTTCAGTGAGGATTTTGCAGTTGGTTTAGAACCTAAAATCTTTTTTTTGAAACAGAAAAAAATGGACAGGGCGAATCCGAGAAACAACAAATTGAATTGGTGCCTAACTGGACTATGACATTAGGCCTTTTACATGTTTCCCCTCCTAGACTCTATATCAACAAGACATACATACACTACAACTATAATTTAATCATTCTTATACCATGGTAACATTGTTACTAACCTGCCGTGTACACCGGATTCATATGCACATGTTTGTGGCCTTGCGTTTGTGGCAGATTGTCATACCCATCTGCCCTTCTTCCATGGCTCTGTCCGGAATGCTGAGGGTCCTCATCAGTTGTTCCTCCTGGCCTCGGGGTAAAAGGGCCGGGTGGGGTGCGGCGAGCGTTCTGGTTCAGAGGCGTGTACTCGTGTGTGGCACCTGCATTTGTAGAATAAAGAACAAAAATGGTAACCTGAGTGTTAGCCACTACTGGTAGCGAATGGTGGGGAGCGGACAAAAGCTAATTAAAAAGGCTGACACTAAAAATGGTATACAATGAAATCATTCAATATCACCATGCTACTTAGTAAGATTAGAACTAACCTGCCGAGTACACCTGATTCCTATGCACGTGTTTGTGGTCTTGCCTCTGTGGCAGGTTGTCATATCCATCTGCCCTTCTACCGGAGAGCTGAGGCGGTCGCCCCAGAGACCGTCCGGATCCGAAGCGACGGGGCGGCGGACTTGGAGGCTGTTCGACGCGGTGAGGCGGCACCTCCGGAGCCTGCTCGGCGAGATCTCGGGGAGACGAGGAGCCAGTTTCTCCCCTCCCCTCGCCGTGGCTGCTGCGGCCTTCCTCTTGCATTTCTGCGACGTCATCGAGAGGGAGTGGAGGCAGCGGTCGGTCCTGTATCCCTGCCGGACGCGTGGACTTTCGCAGGAAAGCCGCCCCGCCGGTTTTAGCTGAACCGTCAGACGGACTAGCTGCCATCGCGTGCCGCACCCAAACTGTTTCTGATCGAGACGTCGACTTGAAAACGTCGATTACACTTTGATTGTCTGAGATTTGGTATTTTTCAACGTCATGTAACACTCACCCATAAGACTTTGGAATTTTCTCATTGAAAGTGAACTAGGAGAGCTCCATGCATATGCAACAGCTCCGTGTACCAACTTTGTGTTGTATTGCACAATGCGTGCTGAAGCAAAGAAACTGGTAGCGTGAAATGAGAGGGTTATTTCATCACTTTACCTACCAATATTTTGTTTCAATATTTTTTATGGGACGTGGGGGTATGGGCAGGTGTTCACAAAACAACAACAACAAAACGTTCAATTTCGGGCCTCCTAGCAGCTTTCTAGGGTACTGCAGCGAAAGTGAATATACTAGTAATGTACAGTGAGAGTTCATATAAGCGGTTTACCTTTGTTCTGAAAGATAAAATGTCATCCTGCCACACATGCTTTTGTTTATTATAGTTTTATTGCTGAACTTAATATATATGTCATCTTCAAACTGTTACTATTAATAAGTATTAGAAACTGTGATTGGAAGAAACAGATTAACGATTAAATATTTAATGTTAGTACTTCTATAAGGCCATGTTGATTTTGATTATATGGATGACATCCTCTGGGAACCCCAAAACTGATGCGAGCGCGCGAATAAAAAAAAAGTTTTGCAAAAAAAAAAGTTGCTTTCGATCATGAAATCTATGTTGTTATGAAGGTCGAACAAATGACACAGAGTATGGTATGGCGAATAATCTACTCTTTAAATTCATTTCTTTGCATTTTAGTTTTTTGTTTGATTTTGGCATTCTACGACGTTGGAATCGTTTTCAAATATTTTTTTTGCAACTTTCGGTATATATTTGCTCATTTTGCGACTGTTTTGTACAGTTTACAGTGTGGTTGGAAACTTTTTTTGTCATCCATATAATCAAATCAACATGGCCTAAGTGGTGAATATAATACTTTATAAAAGACCTTTATTCGAAAATTAGAATTAATTAGACTTTGTTATTAGAAAAAAAAACAAAATTCGTGATTAACCCTACTCGTAACACATATCACTATTAGCTAATACATATTGTGAGCCATTGACACACAGTTAGTTAAAGTCCCCCCGCAAGCATTAGCATGGTCGCATATGGCTGTGCCCATCTCCTCTTTCTATAGCCCTTGGGCCGCACAGTGCAATCACTACAGCAGGGGGCTAGTCCACTGGTAGTTGTGTGTGTGTTTAACTCCCATACACACAGGCCACTACAGCAGGGGGCTAGTCCACTGGTAGTGGTGTGTGTTTAACTCCCATACACACAGGCCACAATAGCAGGGGGCTAGTCCACTGGTAGTGCTGTGTGTGTTCAACTCCCATACACACAGGCCACTATAGCAGGGGGCTAGTCCACTGGTAGTGGTGTGTGTGTTCAACTTCCATACACACAGGCCACTACAGCAGGGGGCTAGTCCACTGGTAGTGGTGTGTGTTTAACTCCCATACACACAGGCCACTACAGTAGGGGGCTAGTCCACTGGTAGTGCATGGTGTGTGTTTAACTCCCATACACACAGGCCACTACAGCAGGGGGCTAGTCCACTGGTAGTGCATGGTGTGTGTTTAACTCCCATACACACAGGCCACAATAGCAGGGGGCTAGTCCACTGGTAGTGGTGTGTGTTTAACTCCCATACACACAGGCCACTACAGCAGGGGGCTAGTCCACTGGTAGTGGTGTGTGTGTTTAACTCCCATACTCTTTCTCGAATGCCTAGTGCTAAGCAGACTCCACTTCTGTCTTATAAAGTTCCATGAGATTTTTCACTTTTTTCAATGATTTAACAATACAAATTCAGCACTGTTACGTACAAAACATTACCATGTATAAAGTTTGCCAGCTTTTGGTAGGTTTAGTAATTTCCCTTCTGACTTTTGTGTTTTTGACTCAATCAAATTGTAATCTAAGGTAAAAGAGTGTGTACTAAACAACTACTGTATATGGGCTTGATTCTAGCTGTGTGTGGGGCCTGAAGCTTTCTTTGAAAAGCTTCAAAGGGTTTGAAGTACCTACTCTTGCATTCCTGCCATGCAAGTTATGCTCCTACACGAGACTTATTTCAGATGCTAAGGTTATGCGGCGTGCAGGAATTTTTTGTGCATACTAGAGTGACTTTTTTAAAGTATACAACAGCCCAATTTACTGCACTAAGAGTCAAGCCCAACAAACATTAAAACTCAGAAGACGTACATTTTACTTTTTATGTGTTTTTATTGTTAAGGTTTGCAAAGCATGTGTCTGCTCGCAAGCTACAGTACAATTGTCAAAACAGTGCACACAGTGAGCCAAGGCCCAATAGCTCCTCCAATATTGAGCATGTTGAGGTTTGATGTAAAATTACAACAGCCAAGGCCCACTACAGCTCCCATAGCAGAACATGTTAAGCGTTCATGTAACAGTCACCACACAATTATCAGGCATTTCTTCATCGCATTCTTTAGGCTTAAGGACCTCCTCATCTGACCTACATACAACATGCACAATCGTGTGACTTGTCTTTCCAGCATTCCTGTACACCTCGAGTATCTAACATTGATCGGAAACTGAATAGCCTAGGATCCAGCCTTTTAATGCCAGGCTTCCAAACCATTTGCTGTTCTGACAACAAAACCATAGCCTCTAGCAGGCTTTTGGAAGCAGCTGGAAAGAGTAGAAATTGGCCAGATAGACAGTGGAGTTACTCTGTAGCAAACTGTTCTCTTGGCGCAAACTTCCCTGGCTGTCTATCTGACCAATTTCTACTCTTTCCAGCCACTTCCCGAAGCCTGGCAGAGGCTAACAAAGCCTAACATGGCTGCATCCGAGGCTATAACAGTTCTGAAGTCATGGAATGATTATCTATCCTATTACATGTAGTCATCCACAGCCACAACACACCAACAACAATCTGCGAGTCTCACTTCTTTGGCTACAGGGAATTTTAGTGCCAGATGCCTATTTCTCTCATCATTACAGTATGCACATGCAGCAAGAGCAGTAATTATTATCATTGAATAGACCCATTCGACTTTTCACGGATGGCATAAACTAGCTTACGTCACAGGGGGGGCATTTTGAATAGAAATTACGTCACAGGGGGGACATTTCGAAAGTTCCTTTCACGGATTGCATAAACTGCATACGTCACAGAACAAAATAACCTTAAATTGTTGTACGGAATGCCACCATACAAAGTTGGTGCCTGTTTTCCTGTCATTTCCGCATATATTACCGAGAAAATAGACACTTATCTACCTTTTAGTAAAAAAAAAAAGATCTGCCAGGGGGGACACCGCGAGCGCAAGCCGCGTTTCGACTTTAGCGTTCTTAGAACGACGTTCTTTCGAAATGT